CTTGGATATGTAAACTTCATGACATGATGAGAGAACGGAAGAAGTAAAGTGTGCGATAGCGAAATAAAGACGGCGTGCGAGTTTTTAATTTTATACGGTTTTTTTAACGCGATTCAGAGCTTCGTTCATCATTTTGATTCAGGACTTCGGTCATTTTCGTTAATTACGATAATCGCTTTACTTGCAGGTCTGTGCTCCGAAGATGAGGAGAGACTGGTACGAGATTTATTCAGAGGGTACAATAAACTCATCCGACCAGTGCAAAATATGACGGAGAAGGTACACGTGAGGTTCGGCCTCGCCTTCGTACAGCTGATCAATGTGGTGAGATTATCTTGTTCCGTTTTTTTTTGCGCAATTGGGAAATAATATTAGTTGCATTATCTACAAAAAAAAAAAAATTTTAATTATATAAATAATTGTACAAAATTTTTGTTCTCAAAATATCCTTGAAAAATGTTTACATAGATTTTTAAAATTTTTTAGAATGAAAAGAACCAGATCATGAAATCGAACGTATGGTTAAGATTTGTATGGATGGATTATCAATTGCAATGGGATGAAGCAGATTACGGCGGAATCGGTGTCCTGAGATTACCACCCGACAAAGTGTGGAAACCGGATATAGTATTATTCAATAAGTATGCGAGAAACTTATTTTTTTAACGCGATTCAGAGCTTCGTTCATCATTTCGATTCAGGACTTCGGTCATTTTCGTTAATTACGATAATCGCTTTACTTGCAGGTCTGTGCTCCGAAGATGAGGAGAGACTGGTACGAGATTTATTCAGAGGGTACAATAAACTCATCCGACCAGTGCAAAATATGACGGAGAAGGTACACGTGAGGTTCGGCCTCGCCTTCGTACAGCTGATCAATGTGGTGAGATTATCTTGTTCCGTTTTTTTTCGCGCAATTGGGAAATAATATTAGTTGCATTATCTACAAAAAAAAAAAAATTTTAATTATATAAATAATTGTACAAAATTTTTGTTCTCAAAATATCCTTGAAAAATGTTTACATAGATTTTTAAAATTTTTTAGAATGAAAAGAACCAGATCATGAAATCGAACGTATGGTTAAGATTTGTATGGATGGATTATCAATTGCAATGGGATGAAGCAGATTACGGCGGAATCGGTGTCCTGAGATTACCACCCGACAAAGTGTGGAAACCGGATATAGTATTATTCAATAAGTATGCGAGAAACTTATTTGCATGCTTTATTAAAAGAAATATATATATATTAATTATTTATTAATTTTTATTAGAATCGAGATATATTAATATTGATGTATATGTGTCTAAACTTGATTAATTAGAAATTGCAATTATTTTAAAGTAATATAAAGTAGCCGTAAATAAAAACAATTAAAAATATTTTCTGTTTGTCGGAGTCAAAAAACATCTTGACAATGAAATAGTCAAAATGTAATTTGCTTTCTATTATAAAATAAAATTTGTTTCTTAATTAATTATATCTATACTAAAATTATATTTACTTTGTTTGCAGTGCTGATGGCAACTACGAGGTTCGTTACAAGAGTAACGTATTAATATATCCGAACGGCGAGGTGCTCTGGGTGCCGCCAGCAATTTATCAAAGTTCGTGCACGATCGATGTCACGTATTTCCCCTTCGATCAACAGACATGCATTATGAAATTTGGTTCGTGGACTTTTAATGGCGACCAAGTCTCTCTCGCGCTCTATAACGATAAGAACTTTGTCGATCTGTCCGATTATTGGAAAAGCGGCACGTGGGACATCATCAGCGTCCCGGCGTATCTTAACACTTACACAGGTGATTTTCCCACGGAGACGGACATCACTTTCTACATAATTATCCGCAGGTACATATTTTCGATTTTTATCAATTTCGTCTTCAATATTAACTTAGCTTTTATGTACAACGGATATTTTGATATGTTTGCATTATTATAATTATAATTCAAAACTTTAATTTAAAAAAATATATATTAGTCCACACATTTCTGAAATCTTAAAATGTTTATATTGTTTTTGCAGGAAGACTCTCTTTTACACAGTGAACTTGATACTGCCAACAGTTCTGATCTCTTTCCTCTGCGTACTCGTCTTCTATCTTCCTGCGGAAGCTGGCGAGAAGGTCACTTTGGGTATCAGCATTCTTTTATCTCTGGTTGTGTTTCTTCTGTTAGTCAGCAAAATTCTGCCGCCTACTTCTCTTGTGCTGCCGCTAATAGCTAAATATCTACTCTTCACTTTTATTATGAATACTGTCAGTATTCTTGTAACTGTTATCATCATCAACTGGAACTTTCGCGGACCGAGGACCCACAGAATGCCTCAGCTTATACGCAAGATCTTCCTTAAATATCTGCCAACGATTCTATTCATGAGGCGGCCAAAAAAAACACGATTGAGGTGAGAAATTACTTTTAAGAAATATATTATTAACAAAGAATAACTATAATTAAAAATTTCGTCAATTAAAAGCATAAAATTAATGTTTATTAATAAGATAAAATAAATTTAATTGAACATAAAAATGTTATAGAGATATATGTGAGATATAAAGATAATTAATTTATTCGAATAAATGGATATTATTTTGTTAGATGGATGATGGAGATACCGAATGTAACACTGCCAGCTTCCACATATTCCGGGAGCCCGACCGAAGTGCCGAAACACCTTCCAGCTTCTTTGGCCAAATCGAAGATGGAGGTGATGGAGCTGTCCGATTTGCATCATCCGAATTGTAAGATTAATCGTAAGGTACATCATACCACGAGCAGCTCCAGCGGTGCAGGTGGAGGGGAGGGCATGGGGGACAGAAGAGGATCCGAAAGCTCGGATTCTGTGTTGCTCAGCCCGGAAGCCAGCAAGGCTACCGAGGCCGTGGAGTTTATAGCGGAGCATCTCAGGAACGAGGACTTGTATATACAGGTGAGGATCCCGCAATTTTTTATTTCTCTAAATGAACACTGTAAAAAGCTGGGCTATACATTTTATGCCATGTGCATAAAATGAAAGGATTTTTAGATTTACGTAACTAAAACTTTCTTTTACTAAATATTTCTTTTCTGCGACATCTTTCTTTTATAGACAAGGGAGGATTGGAAATACGTTGCAATGGTGATCGATCGACTGCAACTTTATATCTTCTTTATAGTGACGACCGCGGGTACCGTCGGGATCCTAATGGACGCGCCTCACATTTTCGAGTACGTAGACCAGGATCGTATCATAGAAATTTATCGCGGAAAATAAAATCTGATTTGTCTTAACGAATCGCAATTACAAATAATGTGCCATCGTTACCGACCGTTCTCATTTCGTCCGTTTCGAAATCGATTTCGTACAACGTCATATGAATAATCTTGCCATGACGGTTGTAAACGTATAACGCTTACAACTCAAGCAGTTATTCAACACACATGTAATTATTTTTTATACAGATTTCTATCAAATTTTATGCAAAGTACAAATTTATTTAATGAAAGTTTCAACTCAATCTGCTGCCATTGTGTGTGTGTATATTTTTTTTTTTGTTTAAAAGTAATAAAATTTTTTACTCGCAAATGTTCTCAGTTGCAAAGTTTGCGCGGGCAATCGAAATGGCATACATTACATAGATAATAATTCCATTAGCGTTAATTCAGGCTGCCTCTACGATTGTTGTCTTCCCCAATGCCATTAACTTCCGATAGCTCTATCGCGACGTGCTTAGACAAAAGATTTGCGAAGCAATCATCGAATGGTTCTCGTCTTTCATTTTATCGGAGAAAATAGATATTTCCAAAATTCTTGAGTATGTTATATATTATAACAAGTTATTTGCTAGTTTTTTAATTTTTACGAGATGATATCGTGTAAATTAAAGAAACATTTCTATTTAATATTATGGTCTTTAAATTAGCAATTCTATTGCTTAAAATAATTTAGAGACTTTATTTCAAGAAAAAAGAGATATACATGGCGTAAATTATTTTAATAATTACGTGTATTGTATAAATTTTGATTAGAAAGAATCTTTTTGACTTTTAATTTTTATTTAAGGATTATGTTTTACTACTGTGTAACACATATATGTAGTTCTATCTGTTTATATATTGATTATAAAATTGTATAAATATCTCATTGGAAATATCATGTTTGCTCCTCCAAATGTAACTACCACGTAACACACTTAATGTTAAACGATGAAATCCGCTTATGTAATATTATATAGTATCCGTAATTAGAAAAAATGCGAAATTAATTAATGAAACTTTGGCAAGATTATTATAATATTTATATAACGATGGTACGCACAAACACATGTTTAGTCAACTATATCGATATCTCTTAATTAGAATACAAATAATCCAATAGTCTGATAAGTTAGCAAATATATAATAAAAAATATTATTTATATTATAAAATAATTCAAACTTACAAGGAATTCACGTTTAACATTAAAAATTATGTAAAATTCCCGCGTATTTTCTTAGGGCTGTAGTTTCATCATAAATTATTAATAGATCTATCATTAAATGCATATTTTCTGTTTTTGAATCTGAGTTGCCGAAAGTATGCACGTTTAATGTATGTACGTAACATATACGTTAACAAATTTAGTATTAAGTGTGTGGTGAAAAAACGGTCCTTTATTTGATTTCTTGATCGCAATTTTGGCGATCAGTTTTGACCAGTATCGATCAAAGTCTCAAATATCAAAGTCTCAAATCTCCTTGTAAAATAAGGTCGAAACAATGCGCATTAACGTGCAGATAGATATGCGGAATCAATTTTGCGACAATGGCTTAGATATAGATTTGAAATAATTTTGATAATAATCGTGCAAATCGTCGTTGCCACATTGTAATTTAGCTGAGCTCACGTTTGATACTCGTCGTCGTGTTGTATTGATTATACGTATTGATAGAATCGCGACGACTTCAATATGCTCGTCAAACATTTGCATCGACGAGTTTCTAGTGACAAATTTCATGCAAGCATAAAATATTGTACATTAAATTGATATAAATTATGAAGGGGTTTTCTCTCGTATCTATTCGCGATGAGTTTAGCGCGCAATGGAAGACCAATACAAGTCAAGGTATAATAAAATAGGATTTTGTTGATTGGAATGATAAAATAAATCTATTCAATATTAAAATTATTTGCATTTTTGTTTATTTTAAATAGAAATTATACTTTCAGAACGTATTTTGACTGGGAAATTGGCCTTCCTAAAATTAAAAATAAAATGATTCAAACTTCAGACTCATACTACATATTTATTGTTATGGAATTATTTGAAATTCTTATAAGTTATCAGAATTTATTGTTATAAAGTCATCTGAGTTATCTGAATAGTTATTATTGAATATATTATGTAGAATATATAGACATGGTGCATACATGTCTTTCATTGTTTAAATTTTTCTTTATGTTTAGATATTTTTATAAATTTTGTTGTTGTTATTTTACAAACATAAAAGTATAATGGATGGCTTTTATGATTATAACTAACTTGTATGCTATGTAATAGAATTTAATAAAAAGTTTCGTCTTAATACGAAATAAATAAATAAAGCAAAAACAGATAACGTTTAGTTATCTAGACAGATATGTTTAGTTGCGGAATGAGCCAATGTATTTGCGCTATAATAACTATAAATGCGCATATATTAGAAAAAAAATGCAAATTCTATGTTCGTTATAAGAACGTAAAATTGTCGTGCGTTAATAGAACATTATAATCATACTTATATCGCATTGTATTGCGTATATTGTACAGAGAAACTGTCAAACGGTCATGTGTTCTCTGATAGAACGTTTAGTTGAGAGAAAAGTTGAGGTCGATTGTTGAATAATGAGGATTCATATGTAAGTAGTGAAACGACCGAAAAAAATGTAATTTCTTCATATTAATTTATAATTTTGTGCAATTATAATTTTTTATCGCATCTCAACGTATAGATAGTTGCAATTTTACATACCTTGCAAGACTCATACATGACGATTCATTCGATTATGTCGAGATTCTCAATTGTTAATTGATCAGTCTTACAGAATTTTTTTTATATAATAAGCAGTTATTGTACGTACATAAATATTTTATCCTATTTGATGAAATTTAATGTTATAGCTGTTGTGATAGTTTCTCAAAAGTATTTACGTGTGTTGATGTGTAAATTGATTGTTATGTTTGTTCAAGTAAAATGAATTTTTTGCCCAAAGATGCTTGATAACGATAGCAATAGTTGATACAGAATAAAAAAAAAAACATTCTTGATTATAATTCTTTATGTCGATTATAGCGAATTGTATGAAGAGGGAGGGAAGAGGGCAATATATATAAATTTCCAAAAAATTTATAATGTAAATTTTTCTTTCAATTTTGGTAAGTTAATAACAGTTACGGATTTTATTTTATTTACAAATTTTGTTTTTATAAACAAATTTACGTTGCGATATAATTCATTAAAGAAAAATTACTGTATGTCCATAATTGATGTAACGAGAATAATTCGTGTCCGTGTTAAAATGCGTTGATTACTGATAGCGCATGACGTGTCTTCCTCGAAAGAAATACAATAATTAAAATTTTTAGAGACCAGGTATACCCTATGTATTTATTTTAGCTTTTTTACGTTAATGAGTTTTATCTAATTTATTGAACGCGATTTAATATAAACAATGACAGTAAAAAAGTAAACATTTCAGCCGGTGTATATGCGTTCTTTATCTATTGCGAAATGGATGATTACCGCATCAGCAAATATATATTATATTATATTATAGTTTACTTCTGCGCATCAAACGAGTTATTGTTGAACCTACCAAGTTTGTACTTTAATATGCATGATAAATAATAGTGATATATTCGTTTATTACTGTATGTTGGTAGGTAAAAAAGAACTTTAACGTGATAGCTAAGTAGTTCTTTTTATAATGAAATAACACATCAATAAAATCATCGAATTTCATACCTTCATGTGCCTTGACTAATATATTATAAAGATATTATTTTATTCCCAGCCTCAACTCTTCACATACTATATAAATAAAGTATAAAAAGTAAAAATGCTTTCTCGAGTTGCCGATGAGAATCCTTTATGATAAATGAAATGTTTGTGCATGGCCGAAAGAAACTGAAAAGAGGAGAGAATGGAAGACGTTTATTTTCATTTCATTTATTTCAACAATTTCATAATAACGTAATAATGTTAATAATATTACAATGCGGCGATTATAGTGCTCACCAGTTAACAGGGATTCTCATATCGATCAACGTTGCCTCGAAAAGGAGCCCAGCGTAGAAATATAACAAATTTTTATTCACGCTCTCTTATATCTCCTTCGTGGTATAGATTTACTATTATCGGACCAGGCTGTTGTTCAGAGGCATAATTAAAAGTCAAGTGAGATCGGGTGAGTTCAGTTCAATTGCATCGTCCCACCAGGGTCTACGGAAACATAGTAACTCATTTCATACATTCTCGCGTCTTTTTTACACTTTCCTTCGTATTCTCGATGGCGATCGATAACGCACACCATTGTCGATCTTAACGATTGATTGTAACGGTGGACAATACGTGACTTTTTTTTTTTAAGTACATAGGGAATAAAGATATAGGCGTAGGTAGATAACGAAGAGAGTTAGATCGCGTTCTATATATAATCGGTCTTCTGAAATCGCATCAGCGCGGTTTTTACGTTCTGTTAAATTCAATAGGTTAGCATTGAGAGATAATTAGGTATAACTCCTTCTTTCTTCATCGTTAGTTTAGAGAGAAAGTGATCTCGATAAAGTTCGACCCTAACTGCTAATAGACTACCTCTGAATCACCCCTATAATTACTGTCAGAGTATAACTACGTCGCTATTGATTACAGGCTAGCTTTTAATATTCAGTTAATCGATTATTAATCATTTCTTTTTATTCATTATTACGAATATGACTTTAGCAATCAATAGTTTAAATATATATAGTTTATGTTTAGTGGTACATGTGATTTTTTTTTTTTTTTAATAGTTTCGCTTTTATTTATTTATTTGTTTGTTATCATTATCATTATTTCTCTTGCGGTAATTTTTGATAATTATTTTTCTTCCTCGCTATTTCGCTAATCATCCAGCGCGAATACTTTTATCTTTTTTTTTTCTTTTTTTGATAAGACAATATAGCTTATTATGGAATCGCGCGTGGTAAATTAGCCGAACGAGGATCCAGTACGGAAGGAAACGAGTATTGCCTGGAAATAACTGAGTTTTACTTGTGTAAAAATTCATTTTTAAATTCATTTGGCTGTGACGTGTTTTTCTCTTATCTGTTTTTTTTTTACTGATAGCGCATGACGTGTCTTCCTCGAAAGAAATACAATAATTAAAATTTTTAGAGACCAGGTATACCCTATGTATTTATTTTAGCTTTTTTACGTTAATGAGTTTTATCTAATTTATTGAACGCGATTTAATATAAACAATGACAGTAAAAAAGTAAACATTTCAGCCGGTGTATATGCGTTCTTTATCTATTGCGAAATGGATGATTACCGCATCAGCAAATATATATTATATTATATTATAGTTTACTTCTGCGCATCAAACGAGTTATTGTTGAACCTACCAAGTTTGTACTTTAATATGCATGATAAATAATAGTGATATATTCGTTTATTACTGTATGTTGGTAGGTAAAAAAGAACTTTAACGTGATAGCTAAGTAGTTCTTTTTATAATGAAATAACACATCAATAAAATCATCGAATTTCATACCTTCATGTGCCTTGACTAATATATTATAAAGATATTATTTTATTCCCAGCCTCAACTCTTCACATACTATATAAATAAAGTATAAAAAGTAAAAATGCTTTCTCGAGTTGCCGATGAGAATCCTTTATGATAAATGAAATGTTTGTGCATGGCCGAAAGAAACTGAAAAGAGGAGAGAATGGAAGACGTTTATTTTCATTTCATTTATTTCAACAATTTCATAATAACGTAATAATGTTAATAATATTACAATGCGGCGATTATAGTGCTCACCAGTTAACAGGGATTCTCATATCGATCAACGTTGCCTCGAAAAGGAGCCCAGCGTAGAAATATAACAAATTTTTATTCACGCTCTCTTATATCTCCTTCGTGGTATAGATTTACTATTATCGGACCAGGCTGTTGTTCAGAGGCATAATTAAAAGTCAAGTGAGATCGGGTGAGTTCAGTTCAATTGCATCGTCCCACCAGGGTCTACGGAAACATAGTAACTCATTTCATACATTCTCGCGTCTTTTTTACACTTTCCTTCGTATTCTCGATGGCGATCGATAACGCACACCATTGTCGATCTTAACGATTGATTGTAACGGTGGACAATACGTGACTTTTTTTTTTTAAGTACATAGGGAATAAAGATATAGGCGTAGGTAGATAACGAAGAGAGTTAGATCGCGTTCTATATATAATCGGTCTTCTGAAATCGCATCAGCGCGGTTTTTACGTTCTGTTAAATTCAATAGGTTAGCATTGAGAGATAATTAGGTATAACTCCTTCTTTCTTCATCGTTAGTTTAGAGAGAAAGTGATCTCGATAAAGTTCGACCCTAACTGCTAATAGACTACCTCTGAATCACCCCTATAATTACTGTCAGAGTATAACTACGTCGCTATTGATTACAGGCTAGCTTTTAATATTCAGTTAATCGATTATTAATCATTTCTTTTTATTCATTATTACGAATATGACTTTAGCAATCAATAGTTTAAATATATATAGTTTATGTTTAGTGGTACATGTGATTTTTTTTTTTTTTTAATAGTTTCGCTTTTATTTATTTATTTGTTTGTTATCATTATCATTATTTCTCTTGCGGTAATTTTTGATAATTATTTTTCTTCCTCGCTATTTCGCTAATCATCCAGCGCGAATACTTTTATCTTTTTTTTTTCTTTTTTTGATAAGACAATATAGCTTATTATGGAATCGCGCGTGGTAAATTAGCCGAACGAGGATCCAGTACGGAAGGAAACGAGTATTGCCTGGAAATAACTGAGTTTTACTTGTGTAAAAATTCATTTTTAAATTCATTTGGCTGTGACGTGTTTTTCTCTTATCTGTTTTTTTTTTTTTTTTATAAATACATTTCTTCTGTGCGTCTTTCTTTTACTGCGGAATTCTGACGCAAAATATGTATATTCGCTCGAATCGAACTCAGGAATTTGTTCTCTTTCTCTCGTCTCGCGCAATAAATTCGAGAATTACTTGGCACTAACGTTCTGCGTTTGAGATAAAGCATATAGAAATTTAAGACAAATATAAAGCTAAACAAAATTAATACTTTTGTTAGTACATTATATGTTTTGCTGTCGATCTAATCGAAGAGAATGTCATGTATATTTTATTTTAACATATAAAGATCGACGTTATATCTTTCTTTTTGCTTAAATGAAATTTAATTCTGCCATAAAGAATAATTAATAATGTCATTATTACAATTATTTAATTTTGTTCTCAGAATACAGCTTATTAAACTTAATGCAATTGCGAAATAAATCGGCAAGGGACATTTCTCTAACAAATTTATAACAAATCGCGAAGTAATTTCGCAGACTCTCCCCGATCCTCTCGTAACGGATTAATTCATAATCGATCCAATTATACGCGATTTCCGCGCCGCCTTATGATCTTTCTCGTTAATTACATTCCTATTCAGCCCTATTACGTAGCACGTTCGCTCCGCAGTGCGCTCGTTTACGCTTTAAGGATTAGCTACAAATTTGGCACTTGAACTTACGCTTCACCTAATCAGTTAATCTAATTTATTAACTCGCCATCGTCGTGAAAAAAGATACGCGCACGAGCCTATCTTAAATACTTCTCTTTTTTTTTCCTTGTTTCCGCGCTTTCGCTCGCTCGCGCTAATCGACCGATCAATCCGGGCAATTGATCATTGTAATTCTGTACAAACAATGGCACAGTGGAATTTACACACAAAACCTTGCCCCGAATCGCGCCGACAAAACGATACGACGATGATAACGTGACACTCGAAATCTGCGTCGCTGCGTATGATGGCACGAAAAGCGTCGTTTTGCTTTTCCAATTCTGTCGTGATGGCTCCACAAGCCATCAAATGTAAATACGATGGTGTAGTTTTATAGCGGAAATATCCTCTGTATCTCTCTGTACAATCGTTCTCCATCAACAACGATTTAACTCGAGATTGGACGCGTAAACCTTTTTTTACACTCGAAAGAATATCGGAATAGATTTTTTTATAGTCGATCGTTGTGTGTTCCATTCAATTCAAAAATCTCTTGCTTGTTGTACAGCTTGATATTTGTATTATTTTCATAAAACTTTTGCAAAATATTTACATTATTTATAATTATAATTATTATGTAACATTTATTATGTAACATTTAATTTTTGATTTTTACGGCAATTGTTGCTTTCTTTGACTTGTCAAATTTTTTTCGCAGAGAGATTTCCTGCAAGGATTTCATGCGATGATCGACGATGAGCAGAACGACGCGATTCATGTAACGAGCAGCGAAATCCTACGCGGACGATATCTCGTTTCGCTTAATTTAACAACGGGGCTGAGCGCGAGCAACGATTTACACGCTATGTATCGTCGATATAATTAAATCTCTGTCGCGTATATATATAATACATATGTACGTGTATATATAAAGAGCGGTCTAATAAAACAGGCAAGGGATCATCAATTTTTTGAACGTCTCTACCAATCCAAAGTGTGTGGCTTCTTTAAAAAGTAAGAAGCGTAATTATGTTTGTTTTCTTTGACAACTTTAACACTTCATTCTCTGTGACACAGGTTAGTAAAAATAATCTTTACTAATATAATTTCTCGTTCTCTCTTCATCAAAAGCATGCGTGTGAATCATTTATTATGAAAAATTCACACTGTCAAAGTCAGCCCAAAGCTTCGCACATTTGAAAAACATTATGATTGATGCGATCATTATCGCAAGATCAAGTGAATCATGAAACGCGTTGAAGTTAAAAATTTAAAATATTCACATATCATGTAATCGTAAGCCTAATATATAGTTTTATTTTAATTTTTTTGTTTTAAATGTACGCATGCAATTATTATCCGATCAAATCTTAATGGTATTTCGCGTTGAGAAAATTACGCGATCGCGATTTTGACATATTCATGTAAGATGCGTGAATGCAAACGCATGCGTTTACTTGTAAGATAAAATTATACGATTTCTCGAAATATCCGGACAAGGAAAATCTTGGTGGTTTCGTCTCATTTTGTCGCCTTTCGCTTCCCGTCGTGCGGCTAGTTTCAGTGTCAGATCTACGAGCGTAAAATTTGTCGCTAGAGCTTCGACTACTTACATCACAGCGAGCTACTAACGCTGAACAGCTGAATGAGCAGTTGCAACGACTTTCGCGAGCGTTCTCCAGAACGTTAATTATATCTTCTTGAACGATATTAGCGCAAACGGGATCAGTTCACGCGAGCGCGATTTACGCTGATGATCTCGCGAGAGTTTCGCAACCGAGAAAACTCGTCAGCTATACTAGGCGACTAATGGCGGAAGACTTTGGCATGCTATAGTATAATAGACCTTACAATAAATTACACACGACAGAAAATATATATACACACACACACATATATATATGTCTCCATCGAATTAATCTCTCGTGTTAATTAGAGGTAGTATTATATATATCGAGAAGTATAGTTTTCGTCGTCAGCCGCTTGGAGTCATCAGGGGATTGTCTTGACACTTAAACGACAGGCATAATCGATGAGCAATCGTAATTATCTCTATCGTAATAAGTCCTTAGGTAAGTCTTTAAAACGCTCGAGTAATTAATATAGGAGTCAAGTGAAGAAGAAGTGCTACGAAACTCGCATATGATTTAACTCGTTATAACCCGTATGTAAGAAAAAAAAAAATTACAGAGAGTAGTGTATATTTATATGGCTCTTTATTCTAAATTGAAGAAAAATTTACGCTTGGGTATAACGGGTTAATCTCCACGTCACGACGGGAATGTCACATCGGCTCGATAAAACGAAGCTCATCGTTTGTAATTTTCGTATTGAATTATTTTATTTTTTAAGAATAATAGCAATCTTTAACATATATTTTTTTGGTACATTTTCTGATCTGCTTTCGATTTTATTGCGATTATTCCTTGCCTTTCACATCGATTGATGGACGAGACGTTCAAAAAATCGCTCACGTCGCACTGCCGGATTTCCTTTTTTGTCGCATCACCCTGTACATCTGCACTACTACAATATCCTATGAGTCTATTAACCTTTGTTTATTTAACTCACATATTTATTCAATTTCTTTTTTTTTTTATCTATCTTTCTGTCCGCCGCAACTACATTAATCGAGAACGATTCGACTCGCGGAAATCGACTTAATCGTACATTAATGGTGTAGAAAGGAGATTTCAACATTTCGTACAGGCAAAGAGTCTCATAGCTAATACGTTTTAATATTATTATTGTTATTATTAATAATAGTAATATTATCATTTATCGTTATCGTTAATTGTTAGCACTAACTCGTTATCATTATTAATATTCTTTTTTTTTACAAGATTACAGTTTATATATAACAGCCCCGCGCGTATTAAGCTGAGTTGTCGATTTTAAAGGCGCAAGTCACGTTAATGCCGCTTATCTTATTCATTTTTTTCTCATACTCTACCCTCTTTTCTTTTATTCAGTCGTCTCTTATTCAGTCGTTTACTTAAAATGGTCAATTTGTACGGAAATTTCCTTATTTACTGCTGCTCTCGTTTAAGTTTTACAAATTAATTTGAGGAAAAACAGTTGTGTACAAGTCTAAAAATAATTGATACATTTTATAGAATTTCTCATCTTTCTTCAAGAAAAAGAGAAATATTTTTCTAGTTATTCTTTGTAACTCCAAATTTAGAATTAAAAAAATTAAAGTTAAAATATATTATATTAAAAAAACATTAAATTTGCATACGAGAATTAATTGCGCCATGTAATTATTTATATAAAAACATATACCAATGTACGTATATATTAATTTATCAAATATGAAATAATGAAAGCTAATTAAAACTTTTGAAATTGAAAAATTCTACTTTTTATTTGTATAAGTTAAAAAAAAAGGTAATAATAAATTGATTAATGTCCTTTTAATTTAATCTATCTCACCGAATAAGTAGTAAATTTTTCAGACTTATAACCATCCATTATTCTCGCCTACTAAAGCATAGGCGGATCACACCATGCCTGAGTACGTTTGCTGCGTTATCTTCGGAAAACTGTCTATATCGAGTTCAAGGAGGTGGAAACTTTTCGCGCAAAGTGTGTCACGTTCCGCCTGAATTTTAAAATCCACTTTTATACGAATTTGTAATGTTCAAGAATTTGCTGATTCCTGAGAATCTCTTTCAGCAAGAAAGATCATCGATGGTAATAGTTCTTCTTCTTTTGGTTTCTCGTCGCGGAAATCGCGGGAAGAAGCCCATTATATTGTATAACAATGTAATCGTTTGAATTTTGTATACTATAAAACTGAACAACTATGCATCACGGCGTGAAGAAAGATTTCAGAGAATCTGGCATATTATATCAGATTTATTTAACTTAGCCATGAGCATCAGTTTTAATCTCTGTTATTTATTCGTTATTGTGCAATAGATTCAAAATCTTATCCTTTCTTGATACAAAGTTGCATCATTCTATACCGGAAATCTCGCGTTGTTTCGTTTTTACCTATATTTTTTATCGTCAAAAACTTCTAGCTACTTCCGCGTAAAGGGAAAAATCGGTTGTTTCTACCGTCGCTCGCGGTGCGCTTATTAATTTATAGGAAAATAAATCAGCAGTCGTTAGCGACGAATTACAGTGAGCAATTTTCTGTCTTCGACGTAAATCTCATTACGATATGTGATAATACACATTTACAAGTATAATTATAGAACAAGTATCGTCGTACAGTATCGCGTATCGTGGTAAAACGTATTATTTTCTTTTTTTTTTACTATCTAATCGTTAAATCTTGATTATACATTAAAATCACGCGTTTGCTTCGCTAACACGACTTTTTGATACCCGTAATGTTCTAGGACTCGTAATCCATATATATCGCTGCTTCTAGATTAATTTTGCACTTGCGATGTAATTAATCGCAGTGCCAGTGTAATTAATCTCGATCTGATACGCGTATTATTTTTTGCGTATAACAATTGCGGTTAAATTCGCAAATTTAGAGCGAACAAGCAAAGGCTTCATTAATTAAGAAGCCCTACTTTCGACGCGATAGCAATGAAATTACTCCTTTTTAATGTACTGAATGACTTGAAATAATGTGGCAATATTTTAAGAACGCACATATATCTTACTAACAATAAATATGAAAAAATTGATTACATTAATAAGAAACAGCCTTTGTATTGCGATCTTAAAGATAATCATCATTTTAAAGAAAGAAGTAACTAGATAGAATGGGACATGAAGTTTAGCCACATCTTTCTACTTTGTAAAAAAAAACTGATGGCGCATTTTCCTGCATGCCCTTAATTGCAATAAATCGGCATTGTTAATCATCTTTCCACCAACTTGAACTACAGCAAACGCACGTAAAAAGGAACGATGGAGCCGGACATATTCCTGCAGCGACAAAAATTATTAGGGCATTGAAAATCCTCTATTTTACATCTTTCTTTAAAAACAACACACAATGGCATTTTGTAGCTTGAAAATAAATGTCTTTTTATTTGAATCGTAATATTTGAATAGCTTATTCTAATTTTTATTATGTTATCGAGTTAATGAAAGACTGATATTAAGCCGCATGTTAATTTTTATCGCATAAAGGATGACTCTTCCGGCATTAAAATGTATGTATCGATGTCTCGAACTATGCATCTTTTTTTGGCGAATTATTTCTTTGATTTCTTGTTAACTAGTGATTATAGTGATAAACTTATAGTGATTAACCGCGTTTTTCTCGTCTATGTAATGTAATGTACTCTCTATCTCCCTTACGAGTTTAATGCAATACAATTCGACATTATTCTGTTTATATCTTTTATTTTTTTAATCGTTCGCGCGCTAGAGATCAAAACACACCGTTTTATAGTTTTTATCGTACTTCTATGCGTAATTCAGCCCGCAACGCAACATGATCAACAACGGTTTATTACTTTAATAATCTTTAATAGTACATATTTAAAAGATAACGTGATTGGTTGTCGCGTATCCAGTGCCGATAGCTGAAAAATGTACAATACGACTTGAGTTCGTCTCTCCGATGTCTCGTCGAGACGGCGTCCGCCTACGTGTCTGTCCGTGAGCAAGAGCAACTTCCTTTCTTTATCGGTCGCCATCCCACGTTGCTTTTTCTTTCTCCTATCGTGACTAATCGACTTCGTCGCTCCCGCGATTTTCTACCACAACTCTCGAGCGGCTTGTAAATTAATAGAGAACGCGACGCGTATTAATTTTTTAAATGTACTTAAAAGTAAAGTCATGTTTCTCTATTGTTCCTTGCGGATGAAAGAAATATTTGTCGCAAACCAACACCTTGATCGTAATATTTAACATTGCGATATTGATATATGTATAGAATAGTTTTTCAATTTTTGCAATCGCGCGATACTTAATGTTTATCAGCGGAAATGCGCTGCGATTTTTTTTGAAGATGCGGTAACAAAACGCGAGGGACGTTGAAATCACATTTTTTCTCTAATATAAAAGAAATTAAAGTTCCATTTTTAACTTTTGCGTTCTTAAACGGTTTTTCGATGTCAGAAAGAAGGTACATTATTTCCGCGATAATGATTCTTGTAATGGAATTCTTATAGGAAAGAGAAAGATTGATGCACGTCAGACAAAAAGGTACATTAGTGTTTCTATTTACTGTGTACCAGAAAGTGTAAGTGTGTCCGCGTAAATCCGCATTTTATCTACGTGTAATGCGAGAGATAATGATCCACTTTCTCAATGCACATTCAACGGTAAATGTACCCGTCTTGTTTTTTCAAATTTAAAACTCGAGAACAATTTGTCAAACAACTCGACGGTTGTTTGATTCTCGAAACGTAGAAACTAGATATAAAACTGTGTTTAACGTTAAATACGGCTGTTTAATATTTCGATACACATGAAATTTTTTATTCAAAATAGACCAGATATTAGCGTTAAATGTGCGACGAGAATGCAAATCGATGATACAAACAATTCGCACGCGTTTGCGGACACTAGGGAAAGGAAGTGCGTTGCGCTCGAAACACTGAATCAGTTCAAGCAAAAATTTTATCGAACAACCACACAATCGTCCTTCATTTTTCTGCGCCCGCTTTCTACGTCCTTCCACAGTGTCCTTCGGATTTTTTTTCTCTCTTCTCTCTTCTCTCCCCGAGAGACTATTTATGTTATATGACCGCCGCTTTTAAATCGTAGTACAAATTCCCCGTTTATTAAGTCGTCGTCGATTTTTACATACTAATGATACGGATAAGAAAATTCACTGGCATTATTTGAATCACCTTGGCAGTTCATCATGTGTATTCTGAGAGTGTATGCGTGTGCGTTTTACCTCTAAAGCCCATTCCTTCTTCTCCTTCGTCTCGTTTCTCTTTTTTTATCATCGTTTTCTTTTCTGTTTCTTTTCGTCATTTAGTTTTATACAGCTCAAAAGAATTGGTGATCGTCGCCTGTATTTCCAATCGCTTCTATTCGCATATCGCCCTAGACGAGAACCATTGTCAAATTACATATAGTAATCCCCGAATCTCTTTTCTGTTGCTTATATATTTTCAAGAATTTTAAAATCAAATATTTTAAAACTTTGATTTTATATCAATTTTTTTTAGCATGCTATCATTTATATTTATATTTCTCATTTATTTTATATAATTGTGTATATCATTAAGAATTTTTCCAAAGTTCTTCGAGATACTCGAATTTAATTCTTCACGAAATTCATTTAGGTTGTTACATCCGCTACAAGGGTCTCTTAACGCTAACAATACTGATCCTTGTGTACATTCGGAGATTTCTACATCGTATTAACTTTGGGCTGCATCGGAGTATTTTTAACTCATTGGCAAATCACGCTTCCGTGCGTATCGTCGCTCGTATGATGTTACGTGCATTTGTATGTATGTGTATGTGTGGTACATCCCTAAGTAGTAGTCGCGGAGGACAGACTCGTCTCGATTCGACCGATTACGTTTTTACCCCGGTGAAAACGTAATTGAATTTTGTATAGAACTAATCGTTTAATTCTCGTTCGAGAAAATGTATGTACCATTTCAGCTATACAAGGCGTTTTCGGCTACCTTGTTCGACTGCTCTCAGGGATGCGTGTAACAAACCAATGTACATGTCTTCGCATACGTGTGTCTCGTACTCCCCGCGTGTCCCCGTGTACGTGTCCCTTTGCTCTTGCGCGCGCGAGCTCGCGCTGTCTTGAAAACGGTGTGTCAACGTGTTTCGCTAAGGCGTCCTCGTGGGATAATTATATACGATAAAGTTTTTTACCGTTACTATTACGTAATTATTATTAATACTATTATCGTTATTCTCATTATCGATAGCGTTATTATTTTCATTTTTACTGGTATTAGTATATATATCATAAAGAAACGAAGTTACTCCCCGTATTGCTTTCTTCCTAACGCGCAGGTCTCCGAAACGAAGCGGCATGCGAACCCGGAGGCGAGCACCCTCGTGGCCGATCCGGCAGAATCCGGTTAACGGGAAGGGCGGGTGCTTCGCTGGAGCGAAGATGACCGTCGGCGAGATCCTCGTCAGCCCCGGAACCACCGGCGGCAGACTGGCTTTTCTGAATCACGTGACGATAATGTGCGGCGCCGATAGCAGGACGGTGATGGTAGCGATGATGGTGAACAGAGTAAAAATGATTAGGCACATCCTATCGATCACCATCGCCGCGAACTTCCAATCGTTCGTGATCTTCGTGTTCTCATCCTCGGCCTTTAGCTGATTCGTTATTATCTGAAACGAGAGATTGCTTTTTTCGTTGAAAATGTAATGATCGGATAGCGTTGATCTTTTCAATTCTTGGCTGTTTCAAACTTTAGATATTTGAGATCAAGTCGAATTACTTAGAGTTTTGGGCTTGGAGCTATAAACTTATTGATATTTTCGGAATTTTGAATTATTACAATTTTTGAAGTTTAGAGAGATTGAGACGTTAGGTTCTAAAAGCTTGAAGCATTACATTTTATCCATCTTGTGATTATAAATTTAGAATCTTTGGACCATAGAATAAAATAATTAAATAATATCAAAAAAATTTTCAAAACCGAGGAAATTATCTCTGAAGATTTTTCAGATTACTTGTCGAATCGTTGGATCGAACCGTTACCTTAATCTCCTTCAGGATTAGCACAAGCTCGTAACGAGCGCAGAAGCATGCGTTCTGGAGTATCGTTTCGACCTGCGGCCCTGACGCGTCTTGCGGATGTGGGTGATGGTGCGGCGTATGCGAGATCTGGTGGCCTGGTGTCATGGGGTACGATGAGTGCGGCAGCGCCGTCGCGTGCTGATGGTGCGGCGTCGTGGGTGCGTGGCTGTGATGATGATGGGGTGTCGTGTGTATGTGACTGTGGCCGTGACCCATCGCGTGCGCGTGGTGCGGCCCGGGCGTGCTATACACGTTGTTCAGCAGATTATTGTGAGACGCCAACGCGTTGTCGTCCAGGTCCAGGACGTTCGCCAACAGAGACTTACTACTCCTCTGGTGGAGCTCCAGATCGCCATACGACTTGCTCGCACCTGGCATATCCAGAGAAAAATTGTTAGTCGTTAAATTAGAGAAAAGTTATGTAATTGCAGTAATTATGTAATTATTAACACTGTGGGAGAGAGGAAGCGGGAAATCATTAAAAAGAAAATGCATGTCAAATTTCGATGAGAAAAAACTCACAATTAAATTATTCACATAAATTATTCACATATTGTAATCAGAGATAAATTGCTTAAATTTAATTAATATATTTCTATTAAAAAAAATTCTTTTTTTACTTTTAAGATGATCTTACCCGTAACCGGAGATGGCTTCTGAGATTTATGTACTTCCTTGTCCTCGTCTTGCTCTGGCCTCGACATACGGAGTATACAAGGCAGCCAGTATAGGAAAACTACCCTAATCTGTAACGCATTTTAATTAACAATATAATTCAATATTCGTAATTATCTATTGGTTACTATATTAATGTGAACAAATTTTCAAAATCGCATAAATTCGCGACTTTCAAGAGAAAAGCTACGTTAATTTAAGACAACTTGCATGTGCGCATATTATCCGCTTGCGGAAATCTAATCGCGCGAGTAATCAATTTCCGAAATTTACATCATAATTAAAATGACGTCTGATGAGAAATTCGATAATGCAACGTGATTTATATCGCGACGCGCATTCGGTGGAATGGCCCTTAATTATTCGCCTATAAAATTCCCAATTTATCCGCGATGAAAAGAGAGCATTGCATCGGTCTCAGCGGCGGCATGCACTATATTTTAATTAAATCATAATTATCTGCCGATATATGCAGAAGTCATATAGCATTGATAACGAATTAAAATATTCAGCTTTAATAAAATTGTTTTTGTCATATCCTCTTTTACGCGGATGAAAATAACATTAACAAATTGTTTGGTTAATACATTTCAGAGATATAAATCCAGAGAATAAATAATATCAATTAATTCTAGAAATAATTAAAAAATCTATACGGATAAATCGAACAATTTAACCAAACGAGTAAAACAGAGACCTTCAATAATATTTTATGTAAATTATTGTTGGCTACCGATTTTATATTGACCAGTTATATTAATATGGATTAGTTTATATGATTAATTTTATAACAACAAAGTCTGTTATTTGTTTCATCCCATTATCTTCATTCAATTATTACTAATTTTGTTGCCGATAATTTATGCGATTCTGGATTAACTGTGTATTTGTAAATTTAGAATATTTTAAGCAAACTATATATA